TACGAAATATAAATATCCGTATATATATATAGAGATACATATATCGGAGAGAGCGAGAGTGAGAGAGAGAGAGAGAGAGAGAGAGAGATGGAAATGAAGGGCAAGAATTAAGAGAGAGAAAGGGGAAAGAAATCTGAGTGAACAAAATAAGCTGGGAATTTATTTATTTTATTTTAGTGGGATCTGTTTTAAGGAAAGAGATGGTGAAGTTGAACTAAATGAAATGGGGTTGGGGGTAGCATGTGACCATATACTTTCATTTTGGGTACCCTTTTGCAATTATTTATAATTTCAATTTTTTATTTTTTATTTTTTTTTATAGTGAGAATTTATGTTAAGAGATTTTTTTAAGAAAAAAAATCAAAATTTCCTTTAATTTATGTATTTTATTAAAAAGATTGCATTGTAACATGGTTTTATAATGCAAACAAAAAGAAATTCGAACACTCGACCTCTTATCAGACTATATCTCGGAAGATGCTTCATTCAATATTACTTAGGCTAAACTGGTTATTTTTATGCTACACTCGGTGAAGATTACACCGGGTGAAATTTTTACGTTCATAATTATGGTGTAATTGTTGACATTCGCCTTAAATCTTTACGTTTGAGATATGAATTAATTCTTTCTGCACAAGCTTTATCAATTATCACAGATTATTTTTCAATTCAATAAAAAAAATGAATATTCCAAATGTAAAATAACAAGATGTGAATTCCCTCTTGTAGAAAGCAAGTGAGGGATATCAATCGGTTTATACTATGCTACACTGAATAAAATACACAGAATAAATCTTTATCGTTCATACACACAAAAACACACACAAAACCACATTGATGTGTGCAGATCAACGGCAGAAAAACCACTGATAGCAACATTCCTGGGGTGTAGCATATAAATAATCGATATCAATCATATTAGTACATCTCCTCCATGATTTATTACATGCAATTTAAGTAAGTGACAAATGAAATTCCCTCAAGAAATATGTTCAAACATTAGTTGAATTATGGAAAGTTTAAATCCAATTCCCACTCCACAAAGAAAAGATAAGAGCACGTACAAGACAATTATTTCATTTTCTTTTCCATCGACAATAAAATAGATTATAGCCCCCACAAAAATATGATAATAAATTTATAATATTTTATTTATTTATCAATGACCTAACGAAATCAGTAAAACAACAAAAGTAAAGATGGTGACAACACCATCTTTCCACTTTAACATATATATATATATATATATATATATATATATATATATATATATATATAAACTAAATAGAGGAAAAAACAGCAAGAAACACACACAGATACACACAATACACACACAATGACAACTCAAGGTGTTGTCTATGCTACACATGGTACTATCTCACCATAAATCTACACACAATCTCACATGCATACACATGTAAGTGTGTGTAAAATAGGTACACACACACCCACATATATATAAATACTTGGTGAAATTCACTGGGTCAAGATCAAGAAGTTGTCAATTATGCATATGTAATGTAACTTTCAGACAATAACAAAGCATACACACCGTACCACAAGTCTCGACAACTATATCGCAAAATGCAAATGATAAATTCTTGAGCTAAAATGAAAAGATAATACAACGTTTTGCAAATTGTCGGTAAGGGCACTGTTTTTTTCTGCTTCAACAGCGATAGTCAGACGAGTTTGCTTCACTCGTCTTCTCTTTCGGGAGGAAGACCACATGGCAAAAGCATTTTCTGCATTACCACAAAAGTAATTATTTCTTTAGATCATAAAATCTCCAAAAATCCCGTCAAGACGGAAAAGTTGTTGGGCAAAGTTTTCAGTGGGTTTCATAAGCACGTACAGAAAATACGAGTTCCATAATAGGTTCTTGATTAGTAGAATGATGAATAGTGTCGAGCGATTTCCGAGGAAGTGATGAATACATATTGCAGTGGAAAAATGATATATATGTAAAACGTACGATGTGTCATGCTTATTGAACAAGAAACTACGACAAACAGAAGAATTCCTGAAATGAATTTATATTTTTCAAAAAAAAAAAAAAAAAAAAAAAACAAATACGACATTTAACAAACACAACGCAAATTCTTATCAAATGCATATACCTAATAATGCACTTTGTTGCGTATATTTTGATGCTAACATAAACGCTGCAAAATATATCAAGAAAATTATATAGCGCGCCTATGGGCTGACCATATTATTTATCGAAAAATGGAGACCTGCGTCCAAATTAACCCAATTAGACAAATCTCAATGATCATCAAAATCATTGTGCAGCAATTTTTCCGAAGGCATAAAATAAAATCAACTCGTCAGAGAAAAAAAAAAAACTAAACCTTGCTATTAGCTCACAAAGCAAAATAGTTATATTTTCAATAACTCTATAAACGAGACAAGAAGCAGAAAGAAGTCGATAACTCTATTAGAATTGTATTAGATAAGGTTGGCTATTAAAATTGTTAAAATCTATTATTAGATGCAATTTCACAATTACATAACTAATTTAACACTAATCATATCCTAATTTTGTAGTGATTAAGGGATAAAATTGCCGTTCTCTTTTTTCGTCACTACCTACAAAATTAATCGCAGGGTAGGTTCAATTACTAAAGAAATGCAGAAGTAACAACAGATATTAATAAAATTCAAACACACACATAAACAAACATGAGAGAGAGAGAGAGAGAGAGAGAGAGAGAGAGAGAGAGAGAGAGAGATTAATCACCTGCATAAAATTGTAACGCTCTCTGCCAATGGATTCGTTTTCGGCGAGGGCGAAGTAGGACAAAATAGGGTAATGCCCAACGTAGGAAGCGTAACTATCTCGATGAGTATTCACCGCCCATTCACTGTAAATAAAAAAAGAAAAAAGGAGAGGTTTTTAACAGCAAAAAAAAAATAAAAAAAAATCGATGTTGTATATATATTTATCGGCGAGGTTACGTACAACCGAGTCAAATCGGCGTGGCCTGTGCCGACATATTTAGCCTGTAAATGCTCGAGCTGTGAATTTATATTAAACCTGTCGCTCGCCTGCATCACAACAAATTGAGAACACAGAAAGAAAGAAAATTAAGTAGATTATCGTGTATGAATGTAATTTGATGTGGAGAAATGTTAGGGTTTTGAATTGGGGTTTTTTTTTTTTTTGTTTTACCTGCATCTTGAGCTTTCTGTAGTTGTTTGTTTCAGAGGAGCAAAAATGAGATATATGTTTAGTTTTCTAAATTATAGGGGTTTAGTTGTAATTACCATTAACTTGTAATTTACCAAATATTGGACAAATGGTCCCTATTTAAAATATAAGAAGTATTTATATATTTAATTATTGAAAAAAAAAATTCGTCAGCTCTCGTAGCTCAGTTGGTTAGAGCACCCGTTTAGTAAGCGGGGAGTCTTGAGTTCAACTCTCAACGAGAGCAACCAATGAAACATATTTGTTTTTTATTTATTTTTGAAATCAGTTCATAACATAATTTTCTCTCAATTCGAAACCATGAAACAAACTACCAAGTTTCATTTCCCCTATTATATATTATAATTATATTATTGATGAATATAGTTAGTTTCCGATTAATTTAGGTTCGATGATCTTTGGTCGAAGATCGAACTTTTAAAGGTTGATGATTGAATTCAGATGTTGACTACCAAAAACTGTCAATTTTATTTTAATATCGGGATTTGCTTCATGCTTTTTGCTATTTCTTTTCGAAAAACGACAGAATTTGATTTGTAACGCATCAACTACGACAAGACGAAAAACGATAATATGTACACAATCAGGATAACGATTTACATCAAAAGCTAAATCAAGGAGCATATACATGGTACACAAACTGCCTTCACCATGGATACTTACAGTTTATAAGCAAAACAACCCGATTTTAAAATATAAAAAAAAATAAAAAATAAAATCTATTCACTTCAAAAGAACTTAAACCTGGTTTCTAACGCTTTACCACAGTCATTGGATGCTATAAACAAATTAGTGATTATTACGATTCGCCTGGTTTTGAGATCTCTAATGTGGGAGGTAGTAAACTAAGAAAGCTTCCTCGTTCACGTTGAATCGATGCTGAATTCGTCGACTCCTCGTCTGTTATATGTCAAGTAAAATTATAAGAAAAAAGAAAACACGTGTGGATAATTTTATGGTATGATTTGTAGCAGAGAGGAGAAAAGGAATCATACTAAAGAGTGACTTCACAGTTGGTCGCTTTGGTCTAGTGCTTTTCTTCTTCAGTTCGGCTATTAGTCGAAAGAAAGCCATTTTGAAGCGTTAGTTACTAAATAAAAAACCGAATAACGTGTCGAGTTTATATTTTGAGGAAAATATAAGCTAAGCATGGCTAATCTTCTTCAAGTAAGAGCAAGAGGCAATTACCCATTCCAGGAACTTGGTGATCGTTCACAATTTCAAAGTTCTTGTACGTGTAGCCCATAAAGTTGACATCCTTGGACGGGAGCATCTGCATTGTGAAATAACGATATCTCGGATCAATTGCAACATCGAAAACAATATTGCATTAGTCAAATGCTTTGCTTAAAAAATGGTAATGTCCATCTAAAAAAAAATTCATTGCCAGCTCAGCAGAAGCATGGAGCGATCAAAGTCGGAGGATTTTTCGGTTCGGCATCTCGTTTTCCGACAACTACAGAATTATCTTTATTTTTGGTGCTTCCCTATTTGAAAGGTAGGTTAATTTAATTGCAACAAAACTCAGGAGTCACTTTGCCAGGATAAGATAGTAATAACACATAACTGCATATTGCTAATCAGATCACATGGCCAAATGTCGTGCTCGATTGCGTTGTTTCCAAGGCAAAGAATGTCAATATGTCATGGAGAATTCAAGATTTCAGACAACCAAAACATTTTCATTTATTTATTTTATTTTATTTTTATCCGACTCAAAGATTGGTATTGAAGCCCGAAATTGCTTTTAGAATTACATTTTCTGTTTTCTTCAGACAATCAAAACATAATGACTAACCTTCCTCCAAGGACCTGATTTTGTGGCTGAGGGGACTTGATTGTCAGACTGCAAAAGATTAGCAGACGAAGATGAGGAAAGAATACCAAACGCAAAATTACTAGACGAGGTTTAATCGAGATGGTGAAAACCTCTTCAAACTTTTCAAAGTTTTGAGTGTCCAATTCATCATTAACTTCTGGAATAAACGCTGCTTTCATTTGATACAACTTATCCCACTCAATGCCTTTGAACCACGGGTGAGCCTGTGAAGACAGAAACAGCTAATGGGAAAATTTGTTCGGCAGAATCGACCTTTAAAAAAAAACAATAATTCAGAGACACAAAGCACCTTTATTTCATAAGCGCCTCTTGTTCCGAGCCTTTTCTCTACATTACACAAGAGTTTACTGATAAGATCCTTTGCTTCAGCCGATAGTTTTGCCTCTTCGGGGAATTTTAAATGAGTTCTCCAGTTTACTATCTGCGCCAAAGCAAAGGAGAAATCATTTCAAGATATGGGTTGAATAGATAGTAAAATCTGATGGTGAAATCCCGTAATTACCTTTCTGCATGTAGACATGGGTTCATCTGAATAGAAGGGTGGATATCCGACAAGCATCTCATACATGATAGCACCGAGAGACCACCTATTGCACATACGCATGGTCAAGACAGTCTCGACTAGACAAATAATAAAATCTTGCAGTGAGATGGAAAATTATAATATAGACGAGTAAATACCAATCGCATTCCATTCCGTATCCTTTCTTCAGCAGAACTTCTGGAGCAATATAATCAGGCGTACCAACAGTTGAGTAAGCCTGCACCATCGAAATGTTAAGGTGATTCACAATAATTGCCTCCATTTGTAAATAGTAATATACCAGGAAGGACAAATCTCACGATATTTCTACCATAATATATTCTTCGACCCCAGTCTATTCAGATATTTTTCAAAACTTTTATGCATAGATCTTACGAGAAACATGAAACATTTTGATCGTTGAAAAATCTCATAACAACGTGACGAGACATCAATTCTGCTATATTGTGAAAGAAGAGGACGAGTTCAATAGCTTGGAAATATATTTTGGCTCATAGTGACTGTATCACTATTCATTCGGTGAAGTTCACCAAAGATTATAAATATGATTATCTTAAGCTTTTGGGTAATTAGATTGCAAACGGGGAATTAGGGATGGTAATGAAATTATGTATTGATAGGATGCTTACAAGCATCCTCCTATTCCTCTGCCAGTGTTGCAGTTGCTCCTGCTGAGTGCGCTTTGGTGCCGCAGGGCGACCGTCGCTTTGAAGAGATCCACTGTAGTTATTTCCTACTGAAAAATCATTTTCTTGAATATTACTGCAATCCAGTGGTTTACATAACCCAAAATCTGACAACTTCATATGCCCGACTCGGTCAAGAAGCAAGTTATCAGGCTTGATATCTCTACAAAATTATCAAACAAACGCAAATTATATCAGAACACAGCGTAAGATGTGATAGTAAGAAGTTGTAGCATTCCATCAAAATCATCAGACAATCAGAACACACCTATGGATATAATTATGTTTGTGGATAGATTCGATTGCAAGAACTGTTTCCCCAACATAAAACCTTGCTTCATCTTCCGTTAATATATCTTTACGCATCAGTAGAGTCATCATATCTCCACCAGGCAGATATTCCATTATTAGATATAGATATTCTTCGTCTTGGAAAGAACAATAAAGTTTGACAATGCAATTGCTATCAACTTCAGCAAGTAGGTTCCTTTCTGCTTTCACATGTTCAACCTAGAAAACAGAGTGAGGATAAGTAAACGGAATAAGCACAACAAAGGAGCTCGGGCATTTTTTTTTTATCTATTTAGCATGATAAATTAATTGTAACCTGGCCCCTACGAAGCATTTCCGACTTCTTAAGCTTTTTCATGGCATATACGTGGCCAGTTGACTTCTCTCGACATAATCTAACCTGTAACAGGAACATATTTCAAGTTAATTTATGCAGGTAAGGAAAAAAAAACCAATAATATAGTAGAAATTAGCATCGTCAACTACACAAAACTAGAGAACCTCCCCAAATGCACCCTTTCCTATCATCGTTAGTGGCTCAAAATCATCAGCACCCATTTTATGCCTTTGAAGGCGCATGTATTCTGTTTCCTTTCTCTCGAGGTACTTCAAGATGTTGTTTTGCTCTTCTTCAGATACCTCAGCATCAGCCAGTTTTCTCTCTAGCACATTACGCCTACAACGAAACCCCAGAAAATTACGATTTCAAGGTGAAAATAAAATAGTCTCTCAACACCTCTCCCCTGTAAATATGTTTCTTACATCCCAAAACTACAAAATTTGGGAAGACAAATTAACCAGAACATATATTAGGAGATAAGATCAGACTAATATGATATTTTCGTTTTTCGGAAATATTATCTGTTTCTGGAATTATTTTAAAATTTATCTCTGAAGTAAAGGTCATACATACCGCTCCCTTCGCTCTTGCAGGCTCCTCATCTGCTCCTTGTAATGCTTTTCTATATATTGCTTGGCAGCAGCAGCCTTCTGCTTAGTAGCATTTGAAGGAGTTTCCTCATTCACTGGTGTTCGTGAAACTTCTTTCCCATTAGGTGTAGGTTCCTCCTTATTGCTTGAAGTCTTATGATTCTCTTTCGATCGGAATTTCCCAAAACAACGTTTAGCAACTTCCATCTTACTACCTTACTCCGTTTGTCTTGTCAAACTTCAACACCATTTCCAAATGACATAAACCCACTGCCTTATATAGTTCTCTTTCTTCAGCAGCAAGCTACCTATACATAAGTCATACCGTCAAATCCCCAGATCACGGGAATAAAAACATGAATCTTTAATGCTGCATAGAGAAACAAACAAACATACTCAATCAAGAAAGTTTAGAAATCTTCTTCGATAGTCAACAAATCTCTTTTCGGATGGCTAAAATAAAAATAAATTAAAAACTTCCATGATTCGGTAACAGCTTGTTCCTGATTTTTATATTCTCTCCATAATTTCAAATTCAATTTAAGATTTACGTAATAAATTTCACTCACTACATATAATCATTGCCCATCAAACACCTCCATTTAACCTCTCTGTGAAAATCTCCAGACTATAACAGTAGAGTACAATCCAACTAATAAATAGGGAAAAAATGAAAATCAAAGACAAATTGACTAATATAACTCAAATCAAATTGAAATGAGAGGGAAAAAGTTCTATTATACATTGATCAATAACTCAAAAGGCAATCAACACAAAAACTCACTCCTCCCATTACTCCGCATACCTCCCAAAAAAAATCAAAAATAAAATCAAAAATCAAAAACCTCACAAACAACCACGCGTTCAAAAGCTAAATACTAAGCATAATCAATCAAAATACCGTTCAGAATTCCAATAAACCGCCGTTTCAGCAAAACTCAAATCACTAAAAAAAAAAAAAAAAAAAAAAAACCGCATCAAAACGGATCCAACAACCAAAGTTTCGCCGGAATCGTGAACTCAAAAAAAAAAAAAAAAAAAAAAACAATCAAACACGCACCTGCAAATTCAATCCAGAAAACCTAACACAGCGCAATCCCGTCGAATCGAGCAAGTGAGCAAAATGGAGATGAGAACTATCGAACAATAGGATAGTGGATTTGAAACCCTAAGTTTGTAGAGAGAGAAAGAAGTTCGCTGAAGAAGAAGAAGAATGTGATGGGAAAGCTTTTTATGCAGTGGTGGTGAATGATGGCATCATTCGCCATCAAAAGCTCAACACAGAGAGTGAGGGAGGGGTGGTGCTTCTTTTCGGTTTATTTTATTTATTTATTTTTATTTCTTGTTTTTGCTTTTTAGGCAACGGGAAATCTTTGTCAAAAAATTAAGATTTATTTTCCTTTTTTTATTGTTGGTGTTATTTAGCATAGTAATTGCGTTTGTTGAGCTGTAAATATATAATTAATTGAGTTAAAAACGCTGTTGAATTTATCGCCTGGAAAATATGGGACGCGTTTTTACTTTTTACCAGAAAGGTAATAAATAAAAAAGAAGTGCAAATTACGACCCCCTCCCTGAGGTAAGGTCAAATTACGAAAACACCATTCATGTTTGCACAATTACAAGAATCCCCCTCAACTATGTATTATCTTACGAAAAAACCCCTCCAGTTGATAAATTTAGGAGCGTTCATTCGGTAAAATCGTACATAAATTGCGGTATGCCAAAATTTCACACCATTTAGCGTTTGGGCTGATAAATAAATAACTGAATTACCAAAAGTTTATTACAAATGTTTAAATTTTTGATTTCTTTTATTAATTTTAGTTTAAATATTAATATTACATATATAAATATATATTTATAAAAAATAAAACTGAATACCACACCGAATTAACGGTTCGGTAATCGACATGTACGAATTTTTGTTCGATTTGATTCCCGACCGGATGAACACCCTTAGGTAAAATATTGTAAGGGTGGATTCGTAAGATAATACATAATTGAAGGGTGGTTGTAATTATGCAAACATGAGGGTTTTTTCGTAATTATACCTTACCTCAGGGGTGGCCGTAATTTGCCAAAAAATAAACATACATATATGAGTAAAAAAGTAAAATATTTTTTTGTGTAATTATAATTTTCACCTATGTAGCACCGAAACTTCAACTTCTCTACGTATTTGTGTCCGACACTTGATAACACGTACTAGACAGCTAGACACTTTATGGTTCATTTTGCAATTTCTGGATAGAAACATGATTGAATAGTGAATTTTCAAATATTTTTATTGCTTCCCTAATTATTTACATGATTTAATTACCAATTGCAAATTGATAATTGATAACAATATGTATTTTGAATATATCTAAATGAAAATATAAAAATTATTTTATATATAAATAAAATCATATATAATTTTTATAGCATAATTATAAATACAAGCTTATACTTTTAATGTTTGCACGTTTCCCTCAAGTTCTCATATTCCAACTTTCGGGACATGTAGTTTCTCTGTATCGTCGTTTTTGTGTCCGTTCTACATAGATTCTCACTCGATTTTTTCACCAATTGATGAGCAACTATTATAATTTATATCGATTTGACCGCTATTTTTTTTAAATACAAGTCAATCCTATATTATACACTTAACTCAATTCCGGTCAAAGTTTAATTAGAAATAAAATTTCCCATACTATGACTTTCATGTTCTAAGTTAGAATTTATATTTATTTGCATTTGCCAACTATAAAACCCCCTTTAGATCACATCCCTAAAATCATAGCTACTATATATTATATGATTTGAATTTTTATGTGCTTTATTATTATTTTTCAGGTAAATTACGGCCACTTCTTCAGTAAGGTCAAATTGTGAAAAAGTTCTTCATGTTTGGATAATTACAACCACCACTCAACTATGAATCTTCTTGCATGTCCTCCCTTGCGGTATCAAATTTAGTGGATTAATCTTCTAAATTATGTGAAATATTCTCAAATTTGTACCCATTTTATCCTATTGGAGCTCCACATTTTATAACAAGAAAATCATAAGATGTGTCTCTTGGCTTGTAAATATCAGATTGTAGTGCATCAGAAACTGCATTTTTGCACAAAACGAGTAGAAGCTAAACAACATTCCACGGAATCTAATATGTTGAACTGCACACCGTAAGGGTGAACGCTTAAGAAGATTCATAGCTGAGGAAGATGATTGTAATTATCAAAATATGATGAGTTTTTTTTATAATTTGCCGTGAGATATCTCAATGGTGGGGCCATAATTTACCCAATTTTTTTATTCAAAACAAAGGCCAAGAATAAAATAAATGGGGAATGACTTATAAATTTGAAAATATAAGGGAATGAAAAGGACAAGACTAGACTAGTTGTAATCTATCAGAAAACGCGTTTGCTGAGTTAAAGGTGTTCTACCCCATTTTTCAATAATCTTGAAAAAAGAAAAAAGAAAAAAAAAAAGTCAATAAATATTTGTTCTTTCATGTGGGATAAAGGCATAAAGTGTGGGATTAAAGGGTACTTCCACTAAAAAGTAATCTTTGTTTAAATGTACTATTGTTTAATGATCTAGCTTGCCTATATCGGAATACATTTGATCAAATGAGATTGTATTAATACCTACTAACTAAAAAATTATTCGGTCAGTAAAATATTTGATTCCTTACATTAAATCTTGTGTTAAGCTTGTTAAGTTCTGATATTAAGTATGAAATGTCCAAAAACTCTCTTAATTAAGAAAGTTAAAATATTGTTTTAAGGATACAATTGTCTTTTCCTTTTTTAATCACTATGTACATAATTAATCACGGGAGAAAATTGTGCTATTAATTTAATCAAATAGTAGCATTTAATTACGAGCATTAAGTGTAGTAGCGGACTTTAAATGTAGTAGCTGACTCGACCAAACACGAATTTTATCAGCCGAACATCTTTACTAGCCCTTTTTATCTAGTCAATAAAACTTAGCAGAACTAGACAAACGAGGCCTTAAGTCTAATAGAATATTAGTATATTAGAGTTTCTATGCATTGTCATATTTATTTATTTTATCTAACAAAACACAATTAACATTCCTAAACTTTATACTCCACATGATTTACTCATTAAATTTGTTAACTTAGCTAGTAGCATTACTAAAAATAAGAAATAAAGCTAACTCTACCTCCATAATTTTCATTAATTAGCAATTAGCATATAGAAATAAAGGGAAGCATATTCTAGCTTTGTTGCATTGCCAAAATTGTCACAAAAAGAACAATCAATAATAGGACCATAGAAAATATAATAATTAGGTGAAAGAAAATGATACTTTTTTGTCACTTCATCTATTGATATTACAGACAAATAAAATGGCCAAACAAATGAAAAATATTCAGCCAAATTTTCCTTCAAATGGATCATTTTTTCTGTTGTCAAATTGGCCCACAAAGGTTCCCCATAATTAAGGGCATCATGGGACCATGACTATACCTTCTGGGGAGAAAAATAGTTAAAAGAAAAAAAAGGCTAAATTACATGTAAGGCCAAATTACGAAAAATCCTTCATGTTTGGATAATTACAACAACCCCGCTTAATTATGTACTATCTTACAGAAATAATATATCCCTCATTCAGTAAATAAATTTGATATCGTAAGGATAAACGTATAAGACAATACATAGTTGAGGGGATTGTTGTAATTACCCAAACATGATTTTTTTTTTTTTTTTTTTGCAATTTGATCTTACCTCAGGGGAATGACCGTAATTTGCTTGAGAAAAAATCACTTCATGGAGAGATTAGCTTCTGATACATTAATTTCGCTAGATTACTCTAATTGCGGCTGTCCTAAATTTTTTTCTAAATTACTTATTCCCCTACGTACCAAAAAGTTTGTTGCTTTAGAAAATCTAAATTATTTGTTGCTTTAGCGTTCCAATAATCAATAACTGCATCTTATTCCAATTTTGTCATTTGCCACTCTAATTAGGAAACAAAATAGTTGAGAAACAATTAATTATAAGGGCATTTTAGTCAATTTTTTAAAAAAAATTCACAATAAGCTTTAGGTAATACATTGAACAATAGATCACTACATTTCTTTTCAAGTATCGTTTAAAGCTGATGCACATCAATTGAAAAACTAATTATTAGACAAAATTACCCTTCATCATTTATTGATCTTTCATTAATGTTAGTGTAAAGTTGGACAAAAAAAAACAAGAAACTTTAAAGTAACACTTAGAGGGTGTTTGGCTAAGCTTATAAGATGTTAAAAGAAGCTTATAAGATGTTTTAGAGCTTATAAGCTCTTCATAACATCTTATAATGAATAAAAATATGAAATAAGCTTATTACCCAAACATTCTAAAAATTAATCCTAAAAATAAGATGTAACAGCTTATCAGCTCTTAAAACATCTTATCAGACGTAGGAGCTTATCAGCTGTTTAAAATAAGCTTAGTCAAACACCCTCTTAATATCGAGCGGCAATAAATTATTCAACATTTTAGACAGAAAATTAATGTCCCCAACAAAAAATTGACAAAATCAAACAATTAAGAATAAGCCAATAAATAGAAGTTGTCAATTTGCTTTGTCAGCTTAAACTGAAACACTAAAGCATTACAAAGTGTAAAAACACTTAAAAAATTAATAATAATAATAATAATAATAAATAAATAAAAAACTCTTGTCTGTCTACAAAATGATAATAAATTTCACCACAAACTCTTGAGATTTATTACTTAGATCCCAAAAAATTAGTGAAAATTTGAGACCATAATTCTCTACTCTGCATCTCTGAAGCTTTCACTTGTGAGCCACAGTTTCTTTTGAACCACAAACACCACTTCGTCTCCATCTTGGCTCGATTCTGAAATCGAATCGGTGGGGCCCACTGCTTCCCAATGCAGCGCGGATAAATATTTTTTAACAAATTCAATAACGGATTTATTATCACGGATGATAACAAATCCGGAAGGCCTTAGGATTCGGTCCATTTCGAGCAGTAAATCTTCGCCACTGCAACCTTTCTTTTCAATGTCGGAAAATATAGTCCATGCGTGTAGCAAATCGTAAGTCCTAGGGTATGTTGAGAACGCCTCGCACCTGCAAATGTCAAATCGGATTTTTTATTATAAAAAAAATAAACCAGCTTCCGAAAATATCGAATCTTGAGTTTGATATTATTGAGTTGATAGGATATGTATTCCACGTGATTCTGTTATCTATATTTGAAGTTATGCTTACTTTACGTTTTCCAAATTCGTCCATGCATAAGAACTAGGGTGGAAATCGGACATATTGGATTGGATTAGCACTTTCGGAAGTGAAAAACTAATTCCAATTATGTTCCCAAAAAGAAAATCGGAATTTTGGAAATTGGAATGAAAAAACTTGTTACAAAATCGGAAATTTTCGGATCATAATCGGTGGAATTCGGAAAATTCCAAATTTTAGCAACCTAAAATGTATTATAAGAGTTAAAAAAAAAACCGGAATTTTCGGAAATTAAAATCATCTAGGAAATCGGAATGAAAAATATTGTTCCAAAATCGGAAAATTTCGGATTGGAATCACCGGAAATCGGAAATTCCATTTTCACCGCTACTAAGAACTAACGTTACCAAATAGAGGGTTATATTATAGTACATATGCAAATATTTTTTTTTTAGCCTTGATCAGTAAAATACTATATCAAGGCTATCTATCAAACAAGGGCATAATAGTACAACAATCATCACGTACCAGTTATGAACTGTGCCGATTAAGCCCCTGTCATAAACGATCTTAAGCGTTTTAGGCCCGTCTTCAGGTACAGCATTCATCACCCACACATCCTTATCTTTTAAAGCAGCAGCAAATGAACCTAAATGTGCCTTCATATCCATCACATTCCTTAGAGTATCTGACCTTATTTTTGGACTCAATATATTCCAATAATTATCCACCCTTTGCCTCCAAAGTTCCTGCTCGAAAGTTATTGAAGTTAACATCTTGGTTTTTTAAAAAGAATTAAAAAAAAACAAAAGAAAAGTTGCAATTGCTAATATTTTTCTAATTACCGTGTCTTTCTCGAACATTTCGCTTGAATATCCAAAATCAGCAAGGCGTGGGGGAGGAGAAGTTAATCGAGCAGGCCATGGTGCTAGTCCACTTCCTCTCGATTTGTGATCATCTAATTAATGAAGAGAAAAATTATATGTTTGATGAGAATCAAAATAATCATCACAGTACAATTTCAACTGAAAATATTATTCCGGAGCTAATTTAGCAATCTATACGCATTACTGTCTGCAAAGAACACTCTTAAGTGAACAATTAGAGCTAATTAACATTTACGTCTGTGCACTCCATCACAAACTCAACGGGCAAATGTTGAAATATGAGAAACTTTTACATGCTTTCCCGACTTCTTTCCTTTAAAATTTCAAAACTAAAGTAACACACAAGAATTACCTGTTTATTAATAATTTGAAGACAATTTTCAATTTTCCTCGTAACAAGGCGAAACGATACTCTTTTTTTCCCTTTTTTTTTTGAAAAAATGTATACCATAATAAAAAAGTACTTACGGTCAGAATAAGGCGTAATGCACGCCTCCATATTCACACCCCACGCAGCATCAGGGTCGTCGTCCGATCGGCACATAGGCGGCAAAACCCCGGCCTCTCTCTCCAAATAACAGTCGTTCGTCAAAGGCTTCTGCCAAATCACCGTCTGATTCTTCTTCGAAGCAATTCTCCAGCACATTCGCTCCACAAGCGCACTCATTTCTCTCCATATTCTCAAATCCTCTTCGTCTTGTGCATAAGCCTCGGGTGAAGAGTAAGCAAAATACCCACCAGGCCTAAGCACTCGATCCAGCTCGAGGAGAAGAATTCCGTCCCTTTGAAGCCAATCGATTCTGCACCGAGAGCAATGGGCTAGTTCGAAAGATCTGCTCGGATATGGGAGCCTTTTTGTACCGAGTACGCCTAGGTATGCGGGAATTCCTCTCTCTAGAGCAAATTGGATCTGGTTTTGGTGCACGTCGTTTGGTGCAAGTGACATCGCCATGATGTCGGACGAGAGGAGGTATCCTCCGAAACTCGCCACACCGCATCCCACGTCGAAGACCGTGCGGAGGTTGCCGTCGTTGTTTAGGTTGCTGTTTGAGAAGTTGAGCATCTGCGTGTTGAAGAATTGTCAGAGATAAAAAGAAAATGGAGGTCTTCTTGAACTTCGGTTATTAGAATACATGTCGATGATAATTTAATAATGTCTTATTTTTGGGATTTGTAGGATTGTGTAATAATAGGGGGCTGAGTTTGGACTAAATATACTTAATAAACTTGATTAAAATCCGGGCCCTTTTTGTTTATCATGTGTTCCATATATTTCCGATAATGAAATAATATTTTCATTTTGAATTCCGAAATTCCATTTTTTTAATCTTTTTGGGAACAGAATTGTAATACATATTAGAATTTGATTTGGAATTAGATTTTCACTCACAAAAAAAGTTGATTTTTTTTCCCCGAAAGTGCTAATTCCAATCCGATCCGATCCGTCCAATTTACACCCCTAATCAAGCCTACTCATAACTCCCAAACAAGGCCCTAGAGAAACATATATAGTTTCGCGTGATTATTACTTGATCTCGAAAGCTAGAGTAGCACAATTATCAACCGAAATCAGGTTTGATGCATGCAGTTGATAATGATTCAAGAGAGCGAAACTTACATCAGCAATTAAAGCAATATATTTATCTGCTCCATAGTGAAAATGAGTGCCTCCTCCAGGAAAATTGATCTTATCACCTTTAACAACCATCCAGTTCTGGTCAGATTTCTCGTGGGCAAGATGAGTGTGAGGAATGTTTGCTTGCCAAACTTCGTCTCTACTTTTCGGCCACTTGATTGGGATCTGTCATTACAAAACACCAAAAAAAAAAAAATCAAGTATGAACAAAATATTCACCAGAAATTTAAAAAACAAAATTGCATCCTAGATTTAGGTTTTCAACCTTGTATCCGGGTGGTGGAGGAATTAAGCAATTGAATCGCCTTTCGGGTAATGGGCAGTGTCTTTCGTAGTGCTCCATCACAGACAAATCCAACTTCATTCTAGTTTGGTATATAAGGTTTCTGTCTAAACAAGGGATCAATTCTGAATGACGGTCATCACATACCTTTATCGTTGCAACAACAACAAAAATTATAACAAATCATCAGTTAGAATCTAAACTCTTACTACAGATAATGCAGAAAAGATAGTATGTATATTATAAATGAAAAAAGGAAACAGTGAAACTACTTACGGGGAAGCTTTTTGGGGTGATACCATCTTCTCCATCATCTAACCCAAACTTAATCGAAGATTCATCTTGTTTATCTTCTTCGGCACCCAAATATGATGATCCTAGTTTTCTCAAAGAGCGGCTGCCATACTCTATAGCAGACTCTCCGGTATTTTTGGAGCCATAATAGACATAGAGAAACACAAGAAATAGAGCCACAACACACACAGAAGTCAATAACCGCTTCTTCTGTGCTTCATCTGATCTCCCCCTCGTCATTTATATAGCTTCAGTTATTTTTTTTCTTGAAAAATATTCAAATCCGATTAACTTACGATCTCATATTGGGATCTGGCGTCTGGTTGACTGGGTAAAAAAGGTAGAGTAGGAGACAACCTGTGACATTGTTCGAAAAAAAACAACTTAGGTAACTTGTTATGCAGATCGGATTCAGTAATTAGCTATAGGTATAAGAAACCATACAAAATAACTCAAAGAACCCCATAATGTAAATCTGGCTTCTAAAATATATACATCCGATAATCCATGTAACGAAAAAAAAACCCGGTCGATATTTCAAATTAAATATCTTCAATCTCTTATTTTTGCTCTAGAATGAGTTTACATGAAGATAGGTATTACGAGAGAGATATAGCTTAAAAGCATTCAAAAGCTAGACAGCTGAGATATAAACCGAGCAAGTAAACGAGTTAGCTTTGACATTTGGAATTTTATTTCACTATACAATCCAAAGAACTAAAGCAATTTACAATGATAAAGACATCCAATTCTACTGTGACCTACCTAGTCTTTTATGCAAGTGTAATCGAAGTATAGGAAAAACGAGGTACGAAAGTTCCAACGGAATCACGATCAAGGATGAACGTTCTTAGAGAACAAGGCTACCATTAATTTAACCAAAAATTCCACGATCATCTAGCAACCAAGACTCCGATTAGCTTCGACAATAAACGGAGATATCGTTTTAGGTTTTTACCAATTGTAATCTCTCTGGGCTAAGTACCACCAACTTATATGCATGATTACCTAATTAACTGAATAAGCAGAAGTCAACAACCAAATTCCAGGAAGCAACAAATTCAATCTTCTTCGACAAATCAACTAAAAAATCACAGCTCGAATTAATGCAGATCTACAACTCCATATTCTCCACGGAAATCATTGCAATAAATTGTTTTTAAAAAAATAAAAAAAAACCGAATTGAATCAGCAAATTCAACACAGTAAAACGCAATCAGATCGGGGGTTAGAAAAAGTGCTTACCGAATCGAAGCGTCGATACGGGCAGATCTGAATTAGATTCTCCAGAATAAATTTACAGCGTTCGAAAATTGGAAATGCAATGTGGAAACGCGGAAACAAAAATAAGAAGAAGAAGAAACGAATCAAAAATTGGTTTCTGCACCGAAGTTGGAGAATTTGAAATGAATTAGAGAGAGAAAGGGAGTTATATGCATGGGTTTGGGGGTGGGGGGTAGATCTCAGTTCTCAGTTTCTGAGATTTTTACTGCGTGTGAGTGTGTGTGTGTTTTTTTCTTTTTCTTTTTCTGTTTTCTATTTTGGGAGAAGGAAAAAATGTTTAATGTTGGAGAAGAACTACTTTTACCTTACGTTGCGGTGAAGACTTTCGTCTTCGATTAAAAAAGATAATTAAAAAAAGGCCCATTTAATAAAAGGATTAAATACAAATTTCACCCATGTACTATCATCAGTGTCGCAAATACCCCAAGTACTACAAAATGCGACAGAGTGGCCCCTGTCGTTGAGCCACATTAAAAAATCCCGTCATTTTTCAAAGTTGATCGACCATTGCGACATTGGTGAGTAAGGGAGTACAATTTTGTATTTAACTATTTAATAAATAAATTAATTAATTAGAAATTTCCTAAGTAAAATCAAATTACGAAAAAACTCTCATGTTTGAATAATTACAACCACTCATTTAACTATGTTGTCTTACACGTTCACTCTTAAGGTATCAAAAGTATCAAGGGAATGAGGGTCTTTTTCGTAAAAAAATATATGATTGAGGGGATAGTTGTAATTACCCAAATATAAGAGATTTTTTTATGATTTGACCTTATCTTAGGGATAGCTGTAATTTACCAGAAACTTTTGTTTCAGAGCTGAATTGTTATCTAAACTCTTTCTTTCAGAGTTTAATGTGTGCATGTTGGTATTCTCAAATTGTGAATATTGTATTTCATGTTTTTAGACTATAATGATATAATAAATGCGATAAATTACAAAAGCCCTCTCAAGTAAAGTCTATTTACGAAAAAAAAAAAAAATCTTATTCTTCCATAATTACATCTACCCTTACAATTTCTAGATTTTTTACATTAACACACCCTTTTGTTGTAGGAGGCGGATGTAAGAAATTTATAAATTGAACGGAACTAGATGTAATATCTAAAACAATAAGGGATCTGTTTGTAATGATACTTTATCTCAAGGGAGATGATTGTAATTTAACCTAATAAATAATTAAATATATACAGCTCTTAAAAAGAGTGTGAAATTGTTGTGTCGGTAATGAATCTCTGAGTTGGCATGATTGTGAGTTGTGACCTCCGTTTGAGTCAATATAATAGTTTTGGGTCTAAATTGGGCATGATAAATGTATTGGGGCCCAGTGTAGTACCCTAATATAGCATTCCCTTTAGCTATTTGTAAGAATGATTTTTTTTTTTTTTT